ATCTGTCCAGTTCCATTGGTAGTTACTTTCCAGCATTTGGTTCAAAGGATGCAGGATTGTAGCAAGGTTTGGCAGGAATTTGTGGTAATAATTCACCAATCCCAGGAAGGAGCGTACCTCTGCAACACTATGGGGGCGAGGGGCATTCACCATTGCAGCTGTCTTGTCGGTGGTCTTGTGCAGGCCTTCACTATTAATGTCGTGGCCACAGAACGTGATCTTTTCTTTGAAGAACTCACACTTCGATTTATTGGCTCTTAACCCATGGTGGTGCAGCCGTCGAAGGACCTCCTCCAGGTTAGCCATATGCTCTGCGTCGCTTTTACCCGTCACAATCATATCATCTAGGATACAACTAACACCAGAAGTTCCTTCCAGAATCTGATCCATGGTACGCTGCCAAATGGCGGAAGCTGAGGTGACACCAAACACCAATCGATTGTATTGAAACAAGCCCATGGACGTATTAATTGTAAGGTACTTCTTGGATTCTTCCTCCAGCTCAATCTGATGGTAAGCTAGGCGGAGGTCGATCACCAGCTAAATGGGCAAAGATATCTTCGATTCGAGGCAGAGAATACTGTTCTGCTTGTAGTGTTGGGTTAATAGTACCTTTGAAGTCACCACAAATACGGACTGAACCATCTTGTTTCGGCACTGGTACAATCGGTGTCGCCCAATCACTCCACTCTACTTTCGACAAAATACCTTCGCTCTGAAGTCTCTTCAGTTCTTCCTCCACTTTCGGTCGTAAGGAATATGGGACATGACGAGCTTTGCGAAACTGTGGTTGACTACCTTCTTTGAGGGTTATCCTTGCTTTGGCAGATTTGAAAGTTCCCAGCTTGTCTTCAAAAACCTCTGCATACGTATCCAATAGGTTTTTCAGCTTCTCTTGTGTAGTCGTGCCAGGGTTTCTATGGCTGGAATCTGAGGATTTCAACAACTTAATGGTTTTCCAGTCGAGGCGAAGCTTGTGAAGCCAATCTCGATAACACAATACAGGGGAAGGTGGGCCACTATCTGATCTATTCGAGGGTCTGTTCAGTGTCAGTTTGTCAAGACCAGGAGGTTTTTCTTCTCTACCCTTGCTGTGGATCTCTGTAGCATCTCGAGTGGCTGTTTCCATAGCAACTGCTATGTCAATAGCTTTGGAGAATTTTAATTTTGACTCTGCAAGGAGACGTTTCTGAATTTGCTGATTACTTAATCCACACACCAATCTGTCACGCAAGGTTTCTTCCAAGTTATTTCCAAAATTGCAATGTGTGGTTAATTTCTTTAACTCAGCTATATAACTTAAAATGCTTTCCCCTTCTTGCTGATTTCTCTTATAAAAACGAAACCGTTCGGCTATTTCTAGTGGTTTAGGATTTAAATGCTTCTGTAATGTACTTACTATTTCATCAAAGTTCTTGTCTGCAGGCTTTTCTGGCAAAAGTAAATCTTTTAATAATGAATACGTTTTGCATCCAATCAAACTCAGCAGAGTTGGCACTTGATGATTGTCGTCGACATCGTTTGCAGCGAAAAAATGTTGTACTCGTTCGACATACGTCTCCCAGCTTTCTTGGGTTTCATCAAAAACATCAATTTTTCCAATCGTCGTCATTTCTGGACTTATAACAATCCCAAATTCGTCGCCACTGTCGTGTATTTATTTAGATTATACTTTTAACAAAATATGAATAATACATAAGCATGGCCGATCTACATATCTAATGCGCATGTCCGTGCGTATGACCGCTGTCCGTCTATATCTATATATCTAACAGGTACGGGCATCTTTTTCAAAAAGCTGGCAACATGGGTAGCTTTGTTAATTCGAATATGCTGATTTCGAATTTGTTAATTCGAATATGCTAATTTGCATTTTAAAATATGACGTCATAAACCCACGTGAATTCGAGTTGATTTGCTATATACAGCAAAAAGGTGGACAAATACTCCTGAATACGACGTTTTCTTTGCAACATTCACATATTTATTTAATTAAAATGCGCCAAATACAATTTCTATCAAATTGTGACACGCGACCCATCACGTGTCCAGCAATAATGACACAAGCATCGATTGTATGACGTCATATTCCTGCAGGACAGTTCTTTCTGTTTTATTAACTAATTATAAACCAAATCTTACGAGTACCTTAATTAACACATTTATTTAACATCCATGTATGCACTCTCACATCATAATCTGATGAAATATTGCTTATTGAAATGTTACCAACGTCCAAGTATAAGATTCAGCTTCAACGTCAGAGGCAATGGACATGCTCTATGGTAGCTTATTAATGCACAAGTCGTTCTCCGATTTGCCGCAGCAACATAGTCCGGAACACACAATATTTGCTTTCTTGCACTTGCACCGCAGAGTTGCACAACCAGTGGTGCACTTACATGTAATCATCTCCACACATGCTTTCGGATTTGGGTCAAGTGTCATCAGGACTGGAACCAGCTTGTCATCCATAAGTTTCCAACCAGATTTCTCAGGCTTAGGCAGAATTTGGTTTAGACAATGCGCCTGTCGCCACACCATAGCCTGATAATGAGCTCTCATTATATGGTACTTCAAGGCGTCGCTTGTTGGTGGAAGTTTATCTGGAGTACCAGCCTTAGCACATAGCAGAAATCGAGCCATATCCACGGATGGTACGTTTTTCTTGTAGATTCTGCAAACAAACATTTCTGCTCTTTTAAGTGTGTCTGTTGTCAGAGTTCCTTCACCGAGGGAAAGGAGTAGATGAAAGTAATCTTTCAACACCGTCCATGCGGTCTTCTTGGAGTGACCAAACAGGTACGATGTGGTGTCGCAGCTGGCGATCGCATGAAATTAGGCCTACTCTGGGGCGGTAAATCGCCTTAAATCGCCTAAAATCGCATTAAATCGCGGGTTAAAATTGTCGAATTTCTCTTAAATCGCCTAAAATCGCCTAAAATCGCTTAAAATCGCCAACATGCATTCAGTCCATGTACTCAAGTTTATGAGTCTATCAAGTTTATGTATCGATATGCATTGATATATTCAGTCCATGTACTCAAGTTTATCAATTGCTGCTATTTTACGGGCAAATCATGTAATCCCAGGCGCTTCACAATCAAAAGTAATGCAACATGAATTAGCAATCAAATAAGTGGATTAGGCTGACAATATTTGGTCACTCAATATATAGGCACCGGTCATTGACAAAAACAGAGCCTTTTTCTGCTTTATGCAGACTTTACAATAATTAGGTAATTCTGGGATCTGCAAGACCCATAGATCCCATACACTACCAGCAACAAATTTGAGCTAGTTACCAGAATGAGTTAATTTCATTATTGGTGTAAATGGAGGCTGGGCTACATTACAATTTATATGGACTATGGAGGCTGGGCTACAAATTAATCTATAATCTACATGGCTTCTCAAAGCCTAATTGCTGTTAATTAGAACAACAGTAGGAGACTAGGAAAGTCAATTAGTACGAGTGTTGATTTATATAATAAAGTCATCCTGTAATTTGTGCACTGTTGCATGTAACATCGAGCACCGCAT